ACTGAAGCATATGAACTTCAGGTTAGAATTGATTTAAGTACATCTTGGTACCAATAAAATTATATTTATTTATGTACATCGAGAGTATGAATTTAACTGGGGGCTCAATAAGTGAATAATAAAAGGAACTCCTAAACAATCAAATTCCACACGTCCTGAAAAAGAGGACAAGGAGAACCAAAAATAAAACTGGACCGCTTCCGAAAAAAGCGATTACAAGTGTTTGATCAAGGCAGAGGAATCATTATGGAAGCAAGGGTAGTAACCTTGGAACAAGCTTATGCCGCTGTAGAAGCACAATTAGCCCAGCTGCAGCAAGCGCAAGTACCTGAAATCGAAGAATTCCAACCGATAAGTCCCAGGATAAACAATGCAAATGAAATAAGTTTGAGACTATTCGAACGGCTACTAGTATTCAACGGAGATACATCCAAATACAGGACATGGATGGCAACCATCATATCAGCAATGAGTCCCATAGAAGCCTTTCGAGATACCAAACCATATTACGATGCATTATTTATAATACGTCACACGAAGATCGAAGGAGAACCAGCAACTCTTCTACAGAATCATGGCACAGTATTTCACTTACAAGCAATACTCAATCGCCTAGATTACAGCTACGCCGATACTAGAAGCTATAACGCCCTCATAGAGGAAATGAAAAGACAAATACAAGGAAGACAGACGCTATCCGAATTCCACAGCAAGATCTGTCAAATCTTTAATTTAGCAATGACTAAATGCGAAATTGATTACCCAGGGAATACTCACTCTCTACAGCAGGTCACAAAAGAAATGGCCATAGATTGCTCCCGCAATGGCATAAATGATGAATTTACTCAACACCCATTATATGCAGCAAAACTAAGAGATTTAGAAAGTGCATACGCAATTGCCACGGAGATTCTTTATAAAAGGCAGAACAATCCGATACGACGAGAAGCTTATAACTACCCCAAACACCCACAAAACGAACGGAAGTATCAACCAGGAGTTCAACCTATTCCCCACATAGAAAGATCAAACCCGACACCAATGGACGTGGATACATCAATAGGAAGATTCCGGCAACCCACGAATAATCAGCATCAACAACAGCAATCGTATCAACAGAATCCCTTCAGAAACAACTATGAACGACAAAGAGCAGGATACGCACCTTTCAATTCCAATAGAGGAGAACCATTTAAAAGAAACCACCAACCAACGTCATCCAGATATAATATAGCACCACAGAAACTACAAAGGATCAACCAAATAACGGATAATAATAGTGATCAGTCATTAAGGGTAAATATAGATGAAAGCGAATTTGAAAATAGAGCTACTTTTTTAGACGAGTAAATAATCTGCCGTGTCTTCAGATTATTTTACATGATAACAAAAAACTATTAGTTTTAATAGACACAGGTTCAACATTAAATTATATTAGGAAAAATATTCCAAATGGAAAGACCTTCCCAGTTAAACAATTTGTTAGTAGAACTCTGAATGGTTCAAACACAATAAACTCAGCCAAGAAGATTAGAATGCTAGGACAAGAATTAATATTTTTTGAAATCGAAGAATTAAAAGAATTTGATATGATATTAGGAGAACAATCCTTGAGAGAAATGAAAGCTAAGATAGATCTGTTCGAATATAAAATGATGTATGTCAGGAGAACAGAACAGAAGAAAAATGAAATGGATGTCAGTCAAGTAAATTTCACAATAGATGAGAGCAAATATAAAAAGAAGTTGAAGAAGTTATGAGAATTAATGAGGAAACAAATCCTATTTTACCATTTACAACAACAATTGAAGCGACGATCCGCACTAAAACTGAAGAGCCAATATGGACGAAACTGTACCCTTACCCCTTTTCAGACAATAATTTTATAAATAAAGAAATAAATAAAATGCTAGAGAATAATATAATTAAACCCAGTAAAAGTCCCTATAACTCACCCGTATGGACAGTACCAAAGAAAGGAACTGACGAGTTAGGAAACCCTAAGAGAAGAATGGTCATAGACTTCCAGAAATTGAATAGCGAAACCATTACCGATAGATATCCCATACCCGATGTCAACATGACAATACAGAATTTAGGTAAAGCAACTGTTTTTACAACCCTAGATTTGGAAGCAGGTTTCCATCAGATAAAAATCAAGGAGTCAGACACCGAAAAGACAGCCTTTAGCATAAACGGAGCAAAATATGAATTCTTAAGGCTGCCGTTTGGACTAAAGAACGCACCTTCAATATTTCAAAGATGCGTAGATGACATATTAAGGAATTACATAGGAAAATTCGTGCATGTATATATAGACGATGTGTTAATATATTCATCCTCACACGATGAACATATGGAACACATAAGAATTGTTATAAATGCACTGCGTCAAGCAAATATGAAGATTTCATACGAAAAATCTCATTTTCTCAAAGACAGCACTGAATATTTAGGACATATTATTAAACATAACAGAATAACCGTAGACCCACAAAAAATTGAGACCATAAAAAATTACCCGGTGCCTATGAATCTGAAAGAATTAAGATCATTTTTAGGACTAGCAGGATATTATAGAAAATTCATCAAAGACTACGCCAAGATTACTAAACCCCTAACATTGTTTTTAAGAGGAGAAAACGGTCTCGTAAAGAAAAATCAAAGTGAAAAAATGCAAATAAAATTAGATGAGGAAGCCATAAAAGCGATGAATATATTAAAAAAGGAATTACAAGCACAAGTCGAACTCTTTCAACCCGATTTCAATAAACCCTTTGATTTAACCACGGACGCAAGTAATTTTGCCATAGGAGCTGTGTTATCCCAAGGTAGAAATCCCATTTGTTTTATATCCAGAACACTAAGCGAGACGGAACAAAAATATAGCACGAACGAAAAAGAGTTATTAGCCATAATTTGCGCACTACAAAAACTCAGGAACTATTTATATAGACGATCAGACCTTACAATCTACACGGACCATCAGTCCTTAACCTACTCTATTTCAGGGAAGAACCCTAATAATAAATTAAAAAGGTGGAAAAACCAAATAGAAGAATACGGTGCCAAATTGGTATACAAACCAGATTTTCAAAACATAGTTGCAGACGCACTAAGTCGGCAACAAATTAATCAATTAACCGATTCAGAATCGCAGCACTCTCAACTCAGCTCATCCACTGAAACCATAAGAAGGGTAGGCACTAGCTTAAACCATTTTAATAATCAAATTATTATCCAAACTAACAATGGATTAGTAAGAATAGAAAGTAAAAATATATTCGGAAAATTTAGACATACCATATACTTCACCACTATAGAACAATTGATAAGTGATATTAAAGGCGTATTACACCCAAACAATATTAACGCCATAATCACTACAAAAGAAATTCTATATCAAATAAAAACCACACTAGTACAAACTTTCCCCACAACTAATTTTGTAATAGCAAATGGATTAGTCAGAGACACCACTGACGAAAATGAACAGAATGAGATAGTTGAACAAATACACAGAAGAGCACATAGAAATTATAGAAATAATATAAAAGAACTCTCTGAGAGCTATTACTGGCCTAACATGCAAGATATGGCAAAGAAGGCAGCACAAATATTTGAGATATGTAAAAAATGTAAATACGACAGACGACCGAATAAATTACTTTACGGAAAAACACCAATACCAAATGAAGAAGGTACACATTTACACATGGATACATTTTTTATGGACAACCAAATATATATAACTACAGTAGACAGATACTCAAAATTCTGCTATATAAGAAAAATACCAGATATGAAAAACACATACATATATTTGAATGAAATACTATCACAAATATTCCCATACGCAACGAACCTAACAACCGATAACGACCCGACATACGTTAATGTAGTAGCAAAATCTGTATACGATCGACTACCTATACAGCACACAGCAGTGCCACCACAACATTCGACAACGAACGGTCAAGTAGAGCGGATGCACAGCACAATAGTGGAGCTAACTAACTTACTAGTAAAGGAAACCAAAGGCACACACGAAGAGGTAATATTCGAAGCAGTACGACAGTACAATAAAACCATTCACTCGGTCACAGGACATAAACCCGAGGACGTGTTTTTCAACAGAGGAGGATACGACCATAAAGTCATCAGAAATAGAATTCAATATAATCAAGAAAGAGATATCACCCAACAGAAGGCACCGAACAAACAAATTACTTACAAGAAAGGAGATATTATTTACGATAAGAGAAGCCGAAGAAATAAAAAACACGATAGATTCATGAAAAAAATAATTGAACAGGATAACGGTAGAACAGTCACAACAACTGATAATAGAATAATACACAACGATAACATCCGTACTAACTAGAAATGATACTCATAATAATAATAATCTTGCTGTGCATAAACAGAATTAGTTCAGACACAAATATTACAAACCTGAAAGGAAAAGATTATATATTAATAGAAACAAATCCAGCTTTTATATTTGATAGCTACGATTATTTATATCATATTACAAATTTAACTAGAATATTAACACCATACCAAAATATATTAAACTCAAAATATAATTTAGATTCAAATCCTGAAATGAAAACATTACACCAAAAAATTGAAATATTAATAAAACAGATAAATCCAGTTAATAGATTTAGAAGAGGATTAAACGCATTAGGGACAATATTAAAATGGATAACGGGCACACCAGACCACGATGATGAAGTAGAGATACAGACAAGAATCAATCAATTAATTGAGGGACATAATAAACAAAAAATAATAAATAGTAATTTCGAAAAAATGTTAAAGAAATTAAACCAAATAAATAGCAAAAAATAACAACTTCCTGTCAACTTCATTAGACTTAGAATAAATCACAGAAATCATTGCGAAAGAAAAAACAAATGTTTTAACCATAAATATTTTAGAATATGCAGAAATTAAGATTGTTAAATTCAAACAAAACTTTGTAACAGTTTACAAATACCCAAAAATCAAAGAAAAATGTGAACAATTCTACATCCACTCATTAGCTTCAAAAAAAAGGAAAATTAATTATGGATAAAAATATTGCTTTATGCAAAGGAAATGAATACGTAAGAATCAATAAATGTAAAGATTTTATAGATCAAACTATATGTAAGCAGAAAAAGGGACGAATGTACAATACAAATATTAGAGAAAAATAATGCTCAATGTAAAATGATAAAAGAAACGAATCCACCCTTTATTAATTATGGTAACGGAAGCATTATTATTAGCGGATTAAATATATTAAACAACGAGATTTTAGATGGAGATTTTTCAATTTATTTCAAAACCAATATAACATTAAATAATGAAGAATATATAAACATTAAGGAAACTATGGTAAAAATACTCCATAAAAAGCATAAAGAAAATTGAGATATATTAGAATACTTAGAATCTCAATCAGAATACAAGTTCAATAATCTAGACGAAATATCATCCATATTTGTACCAATTGAACAAAATCCAATTAAGGCTACATTTATAACTATATTAATTATAACCCTATTAATCAGCATAACCAAACTATTAATAGAATTTAGAGTAAAGAGAAGGAATATACTTTATCAAAGAGCACTAATACAATGTCAAAAAGACCATGAAGAAAGAAAACGAAAATTACTAGAGTCCAAATTGTAAATGAGGACATTTAATTTTAAGAGGGAGGAGAGTTAGTGTAACAGAAAATACACTACTGTACCGATGACATCATCCAATGTATGATACAGAATCAGTAGTTTACATAAAAGATTCCTATTGAACATTGTTGGGCCTGCAGCCCGCTCATTGGAACTTTGCACACACGTGCCAAAAACCCACTCGCTTACCCCATATCGTCCTGGAGACAAATCCGCTGCAAGGCTGCCGACACCAGTAAATTATGCCCAATTATTATGCCCTCGTGGCAGATTGGCCGAGCTCTTATGGGTTCCGCAAAATTTGTATTTATAGAAAAATTTGCCAATTATTCACGCCCGTCAACTACTTGCGAATTTAAGAAAATTAAGAACACTTGAAGAACAATATTACTTTTATTTAAAGACTCAGGAAAATTACACTACCGATGGGTTTGAAGTCGTTTGTCTAATTGCATTAGCATTCGTTTTTTCACTCGGTTTTAAGTACCTGTGGAACGTATGTTCCAACAGGGCTACCAACATTACGACGGCGCTGAATAGTGCTGCCGTATTGTTAGCGATGCCATTACAACATTATCAGCAACCAAAACATTCCT